CCCGGACTGCGAGAGGGCGCAAGCCTGGCTGAGGGACCTCCCTCCCCCCCCCTCCCCCCCTCCCCCGGTGCACAAATTTTGTGCACGGGGCCTCTAGTTCTTATATAATAGCAAAGGAGTATTTATTGCTTTTTAGGTGACTTGGAAAAAAACAATCATTCTTAATTAAGTACTTCAACATTTTTTACTTGGATGTATTTTTGTTTGTTTGTTTATCTTTATTGTTTAAAGTATTACAAATGTCCCCTTTGTTGCTTTGTGTGTTTTTTCCCATTGAACCTCTCCACCCTATACCTGCCCCTTCCAGAACTACACCACTCTATTGTCTGTGTCCATGGGCTATGCATACCAGTATATGCATATAAGTTCCCCAGTTAATCACTCCCCTCCCACTCCTCACCCCACCTTCCCTCTGAAATTTTTCAGTCCATTGCCACTATTGCAACCTAATAGGCTTTCCAGAATATTGACCCCCTCTCTCCATATCCACTGATTGGTCTTCTCTAGTCTTCCCTTTCCCCGCTAAAATTCTTTATTATTTTTTTTTCTTTTCTTTTTTTTTTTAAATATATATTTTATTGATTTTTTACAGAGAGGAAGGGAGAGGGATAGAGAGTCAGAAACATCGATCAGCTGCCTCCTGCACACCCCCCACTGGGAATGTGCCCGCAGCCAAGAATCGAACCCGGGACCCTTCAGTCCATAGGCCAACGCTCTATCCACTGAGCCAAACCGGTTAGGGCTATTATTATTTTTTTAATCCTCACGTGAGCACATTCTTAGAGAGAGGAAGCCTAACTACTGTCTGCTTTGCACCAAACTCCTCACATCCACTTTTGCTCCTCTTTTATCTATTCCTCATATTATAGCTTCATACAGCTTAAGACCCTTTAGTGATTTCTCATTACTCTTAGGATTAAAATAGAATTTTTGCCTTTGCTGGTTTGGCTCAGTGGATAGACCATCGCCTGTGGACTGAAGGGTCCCAGGTTCGATTCTGGTCAAGGGATTGAGGGCTCCAGCCCCAGTAGGGGGCATGCAAGAGATAGTTCAATCAATGATTCTTTCATCATTGGTGTTGCTATCTCTCCCTCTCCCTTTCTCTCTGAAATCAATAAAAAAATATTTTAAAAAATAAAATAAAATAGAATTCTTTTTTTTTTTCCTAATCCTCACTGAGGATATTTTCCATTGATTTTTAGAGAGAGTGAAAGAGAGAGGGAAAGACAGAGGGAAATATTGATATGAGAGAAACACATCGATTGGTTGCCTCTTGCAGGAGCCCAGACCAGGGCCAGGGCCGGGAGGAACCTAAAATCAAGGTATATGCCTTGACTGGAATTGAACACGGGACCCTTTGGTCCACAGGCTCTATCCACTGAGCCAAACCAGCTAAGGCTAGAATTGTTTTTCTTAAAAAATGTATCTTTATTGTTGAAAGTATTACAGATGTCCCCCCTTTTTTTTTCCCCATCGACCCCTTCTACCCTCTCCCCTGCATCAAGTCTTCACTGTACTATTATCTGTGTCCATGGGTTATGCATATAAGTTATTTGGTTAATCTCTCCTCACCCACCCACCAACCCCCACCTTCCCTCTGAGATTCAACAGTCTGTTCCATGCTTCTGTCTCTAGATCTTGAAATAGAATTCTTAATGTAACCTATAAAACTGCACAATCAAGCACTTCTCTACCTCTCCAATTCTATCTGACTCACTGTGGCTATGAGAGTTTACCAAAGGTGTCCTGTTCCTTTTCAGGGCCTTCACACATTATCTTCTCTGTCTAGAATCTAGGATAGGCTTTTTCTTATCTTTACTTAGTTATTTCTACTCAATCAAGACTTTAATCAAATGTCACTTCATTTGGGGTTGGGGTGGGAGGAGTGCATGTGCATGAGTACCACATACAACTTTTCTCATTACACTGGCCCAAGTAACTTTGGGAGGGGACTTTGAGGTTTTTTGGTTTCATATTTTATTTATATTGAAATTGTGTTAGAGCTTTCAACTTTACATTTACTCCTCATTTTTCTCTAACAGTAACATTTTTTTAATCTTCACTCAAGGATATGTTTTTATTGATTTTACAGACGAAGGGAGGAGATGAATATCTATGTGAGAGAGAAACATCAATTGGTTGCTTCCAGTACCCACCCCGACCAGGGATTGAATTCACAACCTGGGAATGTGCCCTGACCGAGAATCAAACCCTTGACTCTTCAGTGCATGGGACGATGTTCCACCCAACTGAGCCACACCAGTTAGGGCAACAGTAACATTTTATGTATACAAAAATTGTGTGTGTGTGTGTATGTGTATGTCATACACACATATATGTATGTACCATATATATATGTATGTATCATATGAAATGTGGAATGTATTCATTACCTTGCCTCTTTACAGGTCACTAAACTTAGATGTATTTATTTGTAGATACACAGATAGTTGTTTTGAATGACTGGTATTTCATTGTATGGACAGCCTTAATTTATTTAACTTGACTCTATTGATAAATACTTATATTTTATTTATTTTGAACAATACCATCTTTCACTTACCATACTGTTTTCAAGGTCAATCCATGTAGTAGCATGTATCAGTACATAATTCTTTTTTAATGACAATAAAATTTTATCATATAGAAAAATCATATTTTGTTTATCCTGTCACCTATTGTTCTCATTATTTGGCTATTAAGAACAGTTCTATGAACATTCATGCGCAAATTTGTAATATATGCGCAAAACATATATTTTCAATTCTCTTGTATATATGGCTAAGGCTAAGAGTTAAATTGCTAGATAATATCATTTTTCTTTTAAAAAAATGTTTTTATTGATTTCAGAGAGGGGAAAGGGAAAGAGAAATAGAAATATCAATGATGAGAGAGAATCATCAATTGACTGAATCCTGCATGCCCCCTACCAGGGATCAAGCCCTGACTTGAAATTGAACCATGACCTCCTGGTTCATAGGCCAACCACTGAGCCACTCTGGCTGGGCTGTAGCAATTTTTAAGCTGAGACTGTGATCCTCCAACTTTGGGATTCTTCAAGACTGCTTTGATTATTCTGGTTCCCTGGAATTTCCATATGAATGTTAGGATCAGCTTGTCAATGTCTGCAAAGAGCCAGCTCTGATTTGGATAGGGATTGCGTTGAATCTGTATATAAATATGGCAAGTATAGTTATGTTGGCAATTAAGTTTTCAAATCTATAACACAGCATATATATTCCCATTTATTCATATCTACTTTAATTTCTTTCAACAATGTTTTATGCCTGGCTGGTATAGCTCAGTTGGTTGAGCATTGTCCTGTGCACTGAAAGGTTGCCGGTTCAATTCCCAGTCAGGGCACATGCCCAGGTTGCAGGTTCAGTCACTGGTCAAGGTAGGTAATGGAGGAAACCAATCAATGTTTCTCTTTCTCCCTCTTTCTTCCTCCCTCTCTAAAATCAATAAAAACCATTAAAAAAAACAAACCACAAAATGTTTTATAATTTCTATTTTATTTTTTAACATATTTTTATTGATTTCAGAGAGGAAGGGAGAGGGAGAGAGATAGAAACTTCAATGGGAGAGAATCATGATCAGCTGCCTCCTGCATGCCCCCTACTGGGGATTGAGCCCGCAACCAGGCATGTGCCCTTGATCAGAGTCGAGCCCAGCACCCTCAGTCCGCAGGCTATTGCTCTATCCACTGAGCCAAACCAACTAGGGCTGTTTTATAATTTTTAGAATGCAAGTTTTATATGTCTGATGTTTAATTTATTCCTAAGTGTTTTATTCTTTTGCTGGTATTATAAATGAAATTTTCTTCATGTCATTTTTAATTATTCATTGCTAATCCTATATAATAAAAGGCTAATATGCAAATTGTATATTACCTTGCCTCTTTACAGGTCACTAAACTTAGATGTATTTATTTGTAGATACACAGATAGTTTTTCGACCACTTGCTATGATGTGTGCTGACCACCAGGGGGCAGCACAAAATGAAGGAAGGCCCTGACTGGCAGTATGCAGGAAGGCCCTGGCCGGCCCTAATCACCGGCCAGGTCTAGGGACCCTACCCATGCACAACAGGTCAACCAGTTGCTATGATGTACACTGACCACCAGGGGGAAGACACTCAATGCAGGAGCTGACCCCTGGTGGTCAGTGTGCTCCCACAGTGGGAGCACCACTTAGCTGACCTGACAGGGCACCAGACATAGGGCTCACGGCTGGTGAGCGCTGCTATGGCAGCGCAAGCCTCTCCTGATCGGGACTGACTGGGCATGAGCCGACGGCTGGCATAGCAGGCAGGCACAGTGGGGCCCGGATGAGCTGAAGTGGCAGGGGGCAATGGGACTGCCAGTTTTGGCCCAATCCCCGCAGGCCATGCCGAGGGACCCCACCAGTGCACGAATCGGGCCTCTAGTAGATATATGATTAATTTATGGCTGTTGATCTTATATCCTATAACCTTAATTAAATTATTGATTCATTATGTTCCTTAGGATTTGCTATGTACAAGCATGTTATATGCAAATAGCGATAGTTTTACTTCTTTCTTCATTTCTAATCTAAATGTATTTTATTTCTTTTCCTTGCCTAACAGTCCTAACTAGAACCTCCCATACAATGCTCAATAGAAGTGGTGAGAACAGACATCCTTGTCTCAGTCCTTATCTTACATGGAAAGCAATCTGTCTTTCACTATTAAGCGTGAAGTTAACTATGGGTCTTTGTAGATGTTCTTTATCAATTTGAAGGGGTTCCCTTCTATTCCTAGTGTTGAATGTTTTTATCATGAAAGAAGAGTGTTGGGTTTTATTAACTGTTTTTTCTTTGTCTATTAAGATTATCGAGCGTTTTTGTCCTTTATTCTATTGAAATTATGAAATTTTCATAACTCTGTCTATTTGAAAAAAATAAGCATGGGTAAATTAGTGTGCTGGATTGCATTTCTTACTCTGATAGGTTCTTTTTCCTTTGTTTTTCAAATATAGATCTTCTTTTACTGACTTCACCCTGTCTGCCAGAAGAAGAGGATTGAAGGAAAAATACCCACCCACACAATCGTGTGCTTGCTTGTTCCTATATGAAAAGGAATCCTTTGAAAGGACCTGGGATGTCTTATTAGTTTCATAAGATTCTCTTCTTCTGTTTTCTTTTTAGAGGGAAAATAACATGAATTGAAAAGCAATTACAGTCTGAAGCGCAGTTATTACCTGCATAAAAAAATCTCTCATCTTTTCTGCACATTATAATTCTTACATGGGTTAGCAAGAAAAATACTTTGTAATGTCTTTGGACTTTTGAATAGTAAAAAGTGCAAGAAGATAAAATTTGGCTTTCATAGTCCTATAATCCTCAAAAATATTAAAATAATGTTGTATATGTTTGAATGATTATTTTTAAAAATGCTAAATCTGGAATCAATTTCAAAGACTATTTGGCTTTGCAGAAGAGAAAATAATTGGTTCATTAGTTACTTATAGAAAAAGACTAAGAAAGAAGCTATTAATTGCTACCAGTTTTATATTATAGCCTTTAATGTTTATGAAAGAATTTTTATTTTGAAAAATATTCACTTAAAGTTGTAAAAGGACGTTTGAAATACTGATTATAGCTCATTTTATTTTAAAACGGAAATGTTCATTTCTGAATCTTTTTCTCATCATGTAATTACAAGAAGCCAGTGTTTGATTTCCTTTGAAGTTCTGTTTATTGTCCTTGATTCACTTGTATACCAGTAGTTTCTTAAAAGGCTCACTTAAAGTTGACATTTAAAATATAGTTATGCCGCCAAAACCGGTTTGGCTCAGTGGATAGAGCGTCGGCCTGCGGACTGAAAGGTCCCAGGTTCGATTCCGGCCAAGGGCATGTATCTGGGTTGCAGGCACATCCCCAGTGGGAAATGTGCATGAGGCAGCTGATCGATGTTTCTCTCTCATCGATGTTTCTGACTCTCTATCTCTCGCCCTTCCTCTCTGTAAAAAATCAATAAAATATATTAAAAAAATAAAATTAAATTAAAAAAAATAAAATATAGTTATGCCAATGAAGTCCCAGCTGGACAATATCTAACATGAGTGTTCATCATTCTGCTAGGCTCTGTTGTGGTGCTGTTCAACCTGTGGTGGTGAGACTTGTTAAAAAAAAAAAATCAGAGGAATTTTGGAATTTGAATGATTACCCAACAAGGACATTACCCTGTCTAATTCTGAATTGTATGGATAATTAGATGTTCCCAAATTATTGAATATGCTCTTAATTTGTATTTATTGAAAGACTGTTAACTCGGTGTCATAAAATTTCTATTATTTTGCTATAAGTTAATTCAGGTATAAAATTTACAAATTCATATCATGATTAAAATTTTTACTTTGTACAAAAGTAGGAGGAGCCATAAACTATTAACTTTTATTTTCCAAAAATAAAAGGTTGGGATTGATAAATAAAGAACCTGATATAGAAATTCTGACATCATGGAGTTTGTCTCCCTTTCATAGCTTATTAATGATGTATTTTAGAATGGAAGGTGCTTGTAAAAAGCACTGTGAATAAATTTACATACAAACAAAAGATGTTTCCTAAAATGTATTACCTCTTATTTAAATTAGATATTTGGGGAAGTTCTAAATTATTTTCTGGATAAATTATAATTCTTTTACACAAATGCATTTTAGTAGAAACATAAGCTATTATCGATTATATTTATGTTTAAAACATGTACTTATTGATCTGTTTATATATTTTGTACAAAAAGAAAAACAATATATAGTTCAGATACATCTACAAAGTTAAAATCCACCTATACCATTGTAAAGTAATGGTGATAGATTTCTGCTCATACCACTTAAATAACTGTTCAATAAAACACCCAGTGAGCCCTAGCTGGTTTGGCTCAGTGGATAGAGCATTGGCCTGCGGACTGAAGAGTCCCAGGTTTGATTCTGGCCAAGGGCACATGCCTGGGTTTCAGGTTCAATCCCCAGTAGGGGACCTGCTGGAAGCAGCCAATCAATGATTCTCATCATTGATGTTTCTCTCTCTCTCTCCCCCTTCTCCCTTTCTCTCTGAAATCAATAAAGAAATATATTTAATTAAAAACAAACAAACAAACAAACAAAAACACCCAGTGAGCCCTAGCTGGTTTGGCTCAGTGGATAAAGCATTAGTGTGAAGACTAAAGGGTCCTGATTCCAGTCAAAGACAGATGCCTGGATTATGGACTCAATTCCCAGTAGGGGGCGTGCAAGAGAAAGCAGATCAGTAATTCTCTCTCATCATTGATGTTTCTAACTCCCTCTCCCTTCCTCTTTGAAATCAATAAAATCCTATATAATAAAAAGGTAATATGCAAATTGATCCTAACAGCAAAATGACCAATCGCTATGACACACACAGACCACCAGTCACTATGACACACACTGACCACCAGGGGGCTCAATGCAGGAGCTCTGCCCTGGTGGTCAGTGCACTTCCACAGGGGAAGGACCACTCAGCCAGAAGCTGGCTCATGGCTGGCCAGTGCAGCAGCGGTGGCAGGAGCCTCTCCCACCTCCGTGGTAGCACTAAGGATGTCTGACTAACGGCAGAGAGCAGGCCTAAGCTGTTAGTTGGACATCCCCCAAGGGCTCCTAGGCTGCCAGAGGGATGTCTGACTGCCAGCTTAGACCTGATCCCCTGGGAAGCGGGCCTAAGCTGGCAGTCAGACATCCCCCGAGGGGTCCCCGACTGTAAGAGGACACAGGCCGGGCTGAGGGACCCCCCTGAGGGCACGAATTTTTGTGCACTGGGCCTCTAGTGTGTGTGTGTGTGTGTGTGTGTGTGTGTGTGTGTACTGAGTGGCCAGATTATTATGACCACCCCATCAGTACTTCATTGACACTTCCAAAAATACTGAATATTGAAAACTTCTTAAGCAAATACTCTCAAGGTATTATTATTATTATTTGCATAACTAATTCACTTCATTGTGATGGGGTGGTCATAATAATCTGGCCGGTCACAATAATCTGGCCACTCAGTGTATATTAAAAAAACACACAAAACTCAGTGATTTGAGTGTCTAGTTGTCCTTAGTTTGTATAAAAAATGTTCAGAGTACTCAGCACAGCATGATAGAAATGTTCCCTGACACTTATTTGTATTCCACTGTTTGTTCCTTTTATTTTATTTTATTTTATTTTTTATTTTTTTTTTTATATATATTTTATTGATTTTTTTATAGAGAGGAAGGGAGAGAGATAGAGAGTTAGAAACATCGATGAGAGAGAAACATCGATCAGCTGCCTCCTGCACATCTCCTACTGGGGATGTGCCCGCAACCCAGGTACATGCCCTTGGCCGGAATCGAACCTGGGACCTCTCAGTCCGCAGGCCGACGCTCTATCCATTGAGCCAAACCGGTTTCGGCACAGCATGATAGAAATGTTCCCTGACACTTATTTGTATTCCACTGTTTGTTCCTTTCAATTAAAGCATTTTAGACTGAACAGCCTTATTATGTATCCTGCCACAGAAGATTTTTAACTTAATTCTAGATTATCAGAGTAAGGGCAAAGATTCTCAAAATCTATACAAACTCAACAACCAGTGGTTTGTATGCTGAAAGTAGCATAACAGAGTAAGTCCATGACAATGGAATCATATTTTACTCGCTGGCAAGGTGGAGCCATAGATTAGAGGCGTGTCTAATATGTGTACTTTAAACTTAACCATCTTTATGATTTGGTGTTTTATTATTTTTCTATTAAAAGATCTTTGTAATAGCTAATATTTTCAGAATACAAAAGAAAAGAGATTTTACATAGTTTAACCAAGATCAGCGGTAATGGCGCCACCCTAGCCTGGGGCTGTGAGGAGAGTCAGTAAAGTAGAGCAGATGGAGTGATAGACCAAAGAACGATTATAAATTTTGATCCCTTCTTTCTTGGCTCAGTTCCTTCCAAACTCCGAAATCAGTTTTTGGTCCTATTCTTGCATCATTTTCACTCTCCTTTGAAAACCCAGGACTGAAATGAGTAGGTAAAAAAATATAAGGGTGTGCCAAAAGCCTTAGTAATAAAGATTAGTAATATTTTTATACTACTTTTGAAAAAGATAAAAATCAAGCATGATGAATAAAATACCAAACTTTTAGGAAAAAGATTGGATCAATTAAACCATGTTATAGCCTGAGGCAAAAGGAAAAAATTAGTAATGCTAATCCTGTCACTAATAAGAGCCTTATTTTAGGCATAGTGGAGGCTGAGTTCCAGCCTTTTGATTTTTCCCTTCTTCTCACTTCCCAAAATGACTTCACTCCTAAACTCCCTAGATCTTATCCTATTTCTCATTCTTGGCTTCCACCTGGGAGAGTGTTCATGGAAAGAACACTGAATTCACCTGACTGGTTTGGCTCAGTGGATAGAGCGTCGGCCTGCGGACTGAAAGGTCCCAGGTTGGATTCCAGTCAAGGGCATGTACCTTGGTTGCAGGCACATCCCCAGTGAGGGGTGTGCAGGAGGCAGCTGATCAATGTTTCTCTCTCATCGATGTTTCTAACTACCCCTCTCCCTTCTTCTCTGTAAAAAATCAATAAAATATATATATATTTTTAAAAAAGAAAACTAAATTCTAGCCCTGGCTTTTTACAGCTGAGTTCACATCTTACTATAAATTCATATGATTGGATTCCAAGGAGTCTTGGTTGGAGCTAGCGAGGTTGATAATTGCTCTACAGAAAAGTCCTATCAGTTTCATCTGGAAGTTTGTCATCTGAGTGTATACTTAAGAACTACCTACAACTATCTCTTATACTATTAGGATTATTATAATACTCTATTTTTAAAAATAATTTTATTGATTTAAAAGAGGAAGGGAGAGGGAGAGAGATAGAAACATCAATGATGAGAGAGACTCATTGATTGGCTACCTCCTGCATGCCCCACACTGGGAATCGAGCCTGCAACCTGGGCATGTGCCCTGACCTGGAATTGAACCATGACCTCCTGGTTCATAGGTCGATGCTCAACCATTGAGCCACATCCGCTTGGCACAATACTCTATTTTTGCAAGTTCTTATACCTCAGATCAACTGTTTTGTGGCACTTGCCAGGTAAGTGGCTGTATAACATTCTGAGTATTTTTGTTTGGTTGGTTTTTGAGAATGTTTATTAAAGCTGGGGACAGTGAAACAAGGAAGGGCTTAGGATAGAAGAAGCAAAAGAAAAGAGGCTAGGCAGTGGTGCTTTGGCTCACTGGGAAGTCAGAGAAAAGGGGACCTTGGAGACGGGTAGAGGAGGGTTAGCTGTCCATTGCTCCCCTGGTTGCAAGTCTCATGGGGTCTCTTAGAGTTTAGGACAGTGATGGGGAACCTTTTGAGCTCGGCGTGTCAGCATTTTGAAAAACCCTAACTTAACTTTGGTGCCATGTCACATATAGAAATTTTTTTATATTTGCAACCATAGTAAAACAAAGACTTATATTTTTGATATTTATTTTATATATTTAAATGGCATTTAACAAAGAAAAATCAACAAAAAAAATGAGTTCACGTGTCACCTCTGACACGCGTGTCATAGGTTCGCCATCACTGGTTTAGGAGATTCATGCCTATGGGGGAAGAAAAGGAGGAAGAGTAAGGCTTGAGCATGCTCCCAGGAGGAGGAGCACACCTTCTAACTTTTTAACTTTAATGGGTAATAGTAAAGGAATATTTTGGTATGTAGTCATTTCTTGGTTTTCCTATTTTTAATGTAATGCCACCTGGTAGAATGCATCAGTTTGTCAGTTTTCACACTATTTTATTTTCTCCTCCAGTAGGTTGTGGGCAATGTGTTTCATAACTCAAATAGTGTTAATGCTTAACTAAATACAACTTGTATAAACTG